TGGGATTCGGATTCGAACCGCGACCCTCAGATTGCGAGTCGAGTGCCCCCTAACCATCTGGCCATGCCGGGCTCCTTTATAGATGGAGGAAGTACGTAATATTCGGATACAAGTTATATGGGTAATTGTTATATTGTAAATGGTAACAGGAACGGTATACAGCTGCTGATAATAAAAATGGAAACAGTACTTATTGGTTTAAAAAAGCATTATAAAACCCTATTATATGTTCCACAGTAAAACCCGTCATTGATTTTAACGTTCTTCAGTTTACTCAAACGGGATTTTTTTGTTTTAAACCTCGATAAGGACAGTTAGTTACTTTGAAGATAATGATTCGGATTATAGGATTTAAAAACTGTCAGCCCACACACACAAAATTCTGCACTGAACGTGAAGTTTAGCCAATAGGCTTAGCGCTGCTCTTAACTAACGTTATATAGAGATATGCAGGCTCCCCACTGAGAGATATTTCCCCGGGGGCCTACTGAAAGCTGTAAAATAATCGTGTACTGTGTGTATCCGATCAGTACGGAACGTTTAAGCAAACATTATCCGCACCATCAATCACTTATGCGTGTCCCCCCCCCCGGGGGGTGGGGGGACACATACCCAATTTTTGTATAAATCGTAGTAACAAACTTTACCTGGACTGGACATCATCTGTTGTCATCCAATTACTTTCGCTAGAATTTTCAAGGTATTTTATTATTAAATTAGAGTGAAATCGAGGGTTCCATCTCCATCACTGACACAGCCCAGATAGCCCGTCGTGAAGCTTCTTGCTAAAACTATGGTTTAGTATACTTAGAACTACGAAGAAAGGGGACTTTTAGGTTTTAGTTTTCTTTTCGTTGGTTTCCCTGATTTTTTTTTTAATTTCCAGCTGAATGTCAAAAGTCTACTTATGAAATTTTGACTTATTTTGTGAAGTCCTTCAGCAGGTCAGCGGCAAGTTTACGAACTTACAACGCTAAAATCCGGGGGTCGATTCCTCGTGATGTAGCTTTGAACTAAAACGAATATTTTGTGAAAAATTGTGGGATTGTTTGTTTGAAGTTAAGCACAAAGCTCCACAATAGGCTATTTGTGCTTTGCCCATCACGGGTATCGAAACCCGGTTTCTAGCGTTATAAGTCTGCAGACATGCCGCTGTACCACTGGGGGATCAAAGTTTGGAGTTGCTATAACGATAAAAGTATTCAAGATGATGTTTTAAGCTCGAAAGATGAACGTTTTCTTCTGCGTACACTTTTAGATGACAGAAATACTTAATGACAACAAACTCGACAGTTCAATCAGCATACCCTTGAATAGCGCGGGTCTTATCTAACGTTGTTCATATTCGCATTTTATAAAGATACGTCTACATTATACGCAAAAAGTTGTAAAACTAGAACTCGTATTGTTATTTACATTTTGATAAGCTATAGTCAACTCACTTAAATTCATTATGCAGTATTAGTAAAAAATTAATCCAGTTATATGAATTATAATATATTTGACGGGTTCAGGATTGATTAGCCAGGTTTTGGAAGGTTACATAAGATTAACTGAGGTTTTATTATATCCCACGTTGGATTCTTACTTAGTTTTCTTCTCAAACTAGACGAAAAAGTTAAGAGTATGTAGCAAGTCGATTTTTATTTATTTTTAGAATCCAAAGTGAACCAAAGCAACAGAAACCCACAAATTGTAACAATGCAGTCAGGAGCAGAGAGCTTGAAGCATTTTATTGGTTACAACAGTACCCAGCCTCTTAAACATCTTCCTATTGAAACCAGCCTGACGGTTACACCACCCCTTCAGCAATCGGTAAGCTAACATAACGGGATTGAAAGATTCCCTGTGTTTCTCTTTTAAACCAGTCAAAGAGTTTCGCCATCTTTCTCAGTCCACTTGTGATGAACAGTATTATTAGTGAAGTATTAAGTTAATATTGCATGATAACACTGATATTTTTAGGGCTATTTGATTGAAAAACCACGTGGGAATGTTAAACTTTACTTTTACCCTGTGTTTCTCTTTTAAACCAGTCAAAGAGTTTCGCCATCTTTCTCAGTCCACTTGTGATGAACAGTATTATTAGTGAAGTATTAAGTTAATATTGCATGATAACACTGATATTTTTAGGGCTATTTGATTGAAAAACCACGTGGGAATGTTAAACTTTACTTTCTTAGTCATTGATGTCTGATCTATTTCACCAGGTTGCTTTATACAAATGTGCCTTTCTTTAAAAGTATTGATCTTAAAACCATAAATTTTGGGCAAGTATGGTAATCCGATCCCCTGCTGTAGAAACGTTAATGACACTTAACAAATTGTCCCAGCGAATGTTACTTATACATCTTTCTTTAAAGTTAGTTTTGTTAATATTATTAGCCATTATTTTTAATATATATGTGTGTGTGTGTATAACGTTTGGAGATAATTTTGCATTGTAAACTTAATGTTTAGATTAGGACTAACCTAAATATCTTAAACTGGTCGAACCTCATGTGATATTATTAGATTTCCGGACGAAAATATCGATAACAATGAGGGCATTGAACTGATCTGAATCAATGTTTTTTAAACATTATAAGTTTTATTTGCTTGTGATTTGTTTTATAACATTGCATACCTTTTATAAGTCCATTATCTGAAATTAACCGTATTATATCATCTCTGATCTTTTATATAAAATTAACCGTATTATATCAGCTCTGATCTTTTATATAAAATTAACCGTATTATATCAGCTCTGATCTCTTATATAAAATGAACCGTATTATATCAGCTCTGATCTTTTATATAAAATTAACCGTAATATATCAGCTCTGATCTCTTATATAAAATTAACCGTAATATATCAGCTCTGATCTCTTATATAAAATCAACCGTATTATATCAGCTCTGATCTCTTATGTAAAATTAACTGTAATATATCAGCTCTGATCTTTTATACAATATTAGCCGTAGTACCTCAGCTCTGATCTGTTATATAAAATTAGCTGTAGTACTTAAGCCCTGATCTGTGTAGTTAGGTTACTTTGATGAAAAGTTACTGATAACTTCTTGACAAGATTTTCCATTTGGATTACTACAGTCAAAAATTGTTTACTTATTTCAGAACATACTTCACTCATCGTCTGTTTCAGAACATACTTCACCCATCTTCTATTTTAGAACATACTTCACCCATCTTCTATTTCAGAACATACTCACCCATCTTCTATTTCAGAACACACTTCACCCATCTTCTGTTTCAGAACATACTTTCACCCATCTTCTGTTTCAGAACATACTTCACCCATCTTCTATTTTAGAACATATTTCACCCATCTTCTGTTTCAGGACATACTTCACCCATCTTCTGTTTCAGAACATACTTCACCCGTCTTCCATTTCAGAACACACTTCACCCGTCTTCTGTTTCAGAACATACTTCACCCGTCTTCTATTTCAGAACACACTTCACCCATATTCTTCACTAAAAACCATTCTAGTCCTCAAAAAATTAGTTTCCCATTTATGAACAACAGATTGAAAAAAATCTGTCATTACATTGAAAATACAACCTTAAGAAGTTAACAAATAAACAGTCTTAAAGGCCAAGTCACGATTTTTCTTTTGTTAGTATTAAAGTAGGTTCAGTGGTGAACACATTTCAAATTACAGAAAGAACTTCCAAAATATGAGAATAAATTACGGTTGCATATGTGTGTTTTGTGTACCGCACCAAATACCAAATTACCAAAAACTACTTCAAGATCTTTTGTAAATTTGGATAATATACATTATAAGCTTTCGACATTTTAAACTATCATTCCACTCGTCACTTGCTGTCATCCAGTGGCTCAGCTTACAATGCTAAAAATCAGGTTTCGACACCCATGGTAGACGAAGCACAGATAAGCAATTGTGTAGCTTTGAGCTTAACAACAAATTTTAATTGTATTATTTTGATTATGTTTCTATTCACTGAATAAATAACATTTCTCATTGGTGTACGACCAATATTTTTCGCGTATGAAAATGCACTATTTTGGATATAAAATTAGTTAAGTTATACGTGCATATAGTTTCTGTTAAATGTTAATTTAAACACCGATTCTTGTTGGAAACACATGTACAAAATGTAATAGATAATAGAGTCTGTCGGTCCCACATCGATCTCGTTAGCCATCTTTGGACCCTCAGATAAGATCATCATCCTCGACTGCGAGGAATTGCCAGAGGAATTTCAACATATTTGTTTTCCTATATTCGATCCCCCGGAGGGACAGCGGTTGAGTCTTCGGACTTATGACGCTGAAATCCGAGGTTCGATTCTCCTCGGTAACACACAGCAGATAACCCAATTTGGCGTTGGTCTAAAGCAAACAAAAACAAACAATCCTTTATGTATTAGAATCCGGGTTTCGATACCCGTGGTCGACAGAGCACAGATAGTCCATTGTGTAGCTTTGTGCTTAATTCCAAACAAACGAACAAACCTTTATGTGCAGTGCTTAAAATTTATGCCTAGTGTTTTTCATACGTAATATACATATATATATATATATATAT